AAAATATACATTAAAACAATAAAAATACCCTTAAAAAAAAATTAAGCCTAAAGTCAAGAGGCATTTTCAGTTTTTCATAATGTTTTTGTTTTTAATTAGAAAGTCAGCTTATAAGCTCTTTTGTATTTAGCTAAAAAATGACGTGCGTGTATGGCACACCAGGCATCTAAAAATATTTTTCCACTATATAGTTGAAAGTATTGTTATGTCATCTTCTTGTTGGTGTGGTGCATTTCTTTGTTGGTAGTCTAATTTGTTATTGATAGACTTTTTTTTATTTTTTTCTTTTTTTTCTTGAAAATTATAGCTTAACTTTCTTGGTTATTGGTATTTCAACTTTAGTCTCAATTCTTTTTATTTCTCTTTTTTTTTTATCTTAGTCTTTTTGAAGAAATTTTATTTATTTTTAATTTCATCATTGAATTTTAATTTATCAAATATTATATTCTTCAATTTGACTTTCATTCTTTGAATTTTTAATTTTTTATCTTGGTCCTTCTATAAAAGTTTTACTAGTTTTTATTTTTATTATTCTGTTTAATTTGATGGTATTATGTTTGTAAATTTGGACCTCATTATTTTAATTTCTAATTTTTTTCATGATCTTTTTGTAAAAATTATTATTCTTTTCAATTTTATCATTTAATCACAACATTGTTTTTATTCTTATGTCAATTTTGAGTCTCATTCTTTTTAATTTTTTTTCTTTTATTAAATTTATTTTTTTCAATTTTACATTTCAGTTAAATATAAAATTAATTTTGTTTTTGATCTTTATTATTTTTTTTTAAATCCTTTTATATATAATTGAATTTTTTTAAATTTCACCCTTCAATATACAGTTAATTAAGAATTAAATTTTATAATTTTTTTAAATTGGGTATTTTAAATCTAATGACCCAAGTCATAAGAATTAATACAAATTTATTTTTTTTCAAAAAAAATTTATAATGCTATTTATTTTTTATTATATTATTCCAATCATATGATACGAGTCATACATTTAGAGAGATATTTTAGTTTAACTCAACTCTAACTAACATAATTATATATTTATCTTGATTAGTTTTTTAAATATTTTTTTATTTTAAAATTTAAATAATATATTTTTTTAAAAATTTAATTCTTAAGTGCTGACACCAAGACTAATAATTACATAATCGTATTTGTGTACTTCCCATTAAAGAAGGAAGTCCTGCTGAAACCGAAGAGCAGCAATTAGAGGCAAGACAAACTACTTTCACTTGATGACACCAACAGGATTATTCTTTTTATTAAAATCCAAGGGTAATCATTTATCCATACGAGATTGTCTGGATTTATTACTCTGTTTGTCTCGCTAGAAAATTATAGGAACAAAATTGAAATTTTTTATTATACGAAAGGAGTAAATAATCATAAATAGTCAAGGATATTAATATATTAAAATAATATTTTTTACAGTAACTGTAATTGATTTTGAAAATATTTTTTATTTAAAAATATATTAAAATAATATTTTTTATTTTTAAAAATTATTTTTAATATCAACGTATCAAAATAATCCAAAAATATATTAATTTAAAACAAATAAAAAAATTAAATTTCATCAAAAATATTTTTAAAACACTAACCTAAACCTAGTTAAACTTGGTCGAATTATCCATAGTTCAATTAATTTATAACTACGTGAAACTTAAAATATTTTATTTTAATTTTTAAAATTTTTTTAAAATTAAAAACTTTTATTTTAATGTGCTAGATTGACCTAGATTAAGTCGTCGAACTCATGACCGGAGCGCCGGGCTGGTTTGCATGACTTCGCAAATAACAACAAAGAGTTAATTGGGAAATGGTACGGAGGCGTTGAGATAATGTAAGAGAAAAACAAAAACAAAACCAAAACTATCAAAACTACTGTCTTGTGAAGGAAACCGTGCAGGTTGTCTTGTTGATGAAAAAAAAACAAGAAGAAGAAGACAAAAACAGTCACTGCCTTTTTATGCCTCTTTGATTATTTTAATTTAATTTAATTTATATTTTTATATTATTTTAATATACTATATTTATATTTTTATAGTATTTTAATATACTAATATTAAAAATAATTTTTTAAAGATAAAAAAATACTATTTTAAAATAAAAACACCCTAAAAAAATTGTGTTGATTTTACATATACGATACAACAAACACAATAAGATGTTTTGATAAAAAATCAAATTATGTTTTGCATTATAGAAAATACTAAAAAATTGAGTTTAAAATGTAATTTTTAAGAAGTATTTTTTATAATTTTTTATTTTTTAATTGAGTTTCGTAAAATTCTATTTATTTTTGTTTTCAAAAATGTTTTTTTAAAAAAATTAATTTTTTATTTTAAATTAATATATTTTTCATGTTTTCATATTATTTTAATGTACTGATATCTAAAATAATTTTAAAAAATTAAAAAAATTATTTATTTTTTTACTACACATAAATCTCAATCATAATATTTATTAAGTATATATCTAAATTTAATTAACTATATTTCTTTTAAACTTAATTTTTTAAAACCATAATTATAAAATCTATCTAAAAAATAATTACACCTTTTACTCTATAGCCGCCGCGGGATCATGGAAGAGGAAATAGCTTGAGGTAGTGGTTTTTTTTTTTTCATATTATCTTGTTTGAAAAAAATAATTTTTTTAAAAGATTATTTTTATATATGATTTTGTATTGTTTTGATATAATAATTTTTAATATTATTAATTATAACGTTGAAAGTTTCAAACTTTGAAAGTTTGAGATACACATGACATCATCAAAAGAAGGTTCTCTTCTGTTGTTTTGCTTTGGAGGGTCAGGGGTTGACTGGAAAAAAACACCTCCCTTGGCTGAGACTTCTTTAAACAAGGCATAACCAGCAGTTAAAGTTAAAGCTAAAGTTGCAGAGAGATATGGACCATATGGTCTTCATTTTGTCCGTCTAAATCTCAGTTACTGGGTAGGAAGCGAGCGTTTATCAAAGGGAAAAATGAAAGAAGAGAGGTGAAGGCTCGTGAGTCGTGTCTGGAAACCTTGACGTCAAGAAAAGAACTTGAATTCCCTTGCAGGTTCGTTGTAATTTCTCAAGTCAACTTTCTGCACAGACATGCTTCATTCCCATTTTTATTTTTTTTCTTGGACAATTATTATATGCTGCTTCAACTGCTACTCACATATGCTGTGTGCTTTCTCCTACGTTGATTCATATTTTGAGCCCCTCTTTTTGTATTCTCTCTTGAGTTCTTTGGATCTTACTCGTAATTAAAGGGTTGGTGGGTCTTTCTTAGTGCATCTGATCTAAGCTGGTGCTCGTTTCTTTATGAGTTCGTTCAGTTTCTACGTTTATCCCTTCATTGGATTTTAGGTATGTATGATTGCAGTTTATCTTTTATCTAATTGATGGTTTTTAGTGAGTACTCTAGTTTTTTTGGTTGCTGATTTGATCAAGACTTTGTGATCTGTGATAAGACATACATACATACATACATATATAGTCTAACATCAGGATATATATATAGTCTAACATCAGGCTTTAACATGTCATTTTGCGAGATTTTTTGGAGGCTTTAGATAAGTTGTCTGGTTGCTGCTGCTCTAGTTGTGCTTCTTCTTCTTCTTCTTTGCTTTGCTGTCTTGCTATAGATTGCTGTTTAATATAGCATTGTGATCGTGACCTGTTTGCAACCCTGTTTCTTTCTTCATTTCTGTCCTCTTTGTGTTTCCCTTCTTGTTTTTCTTTCTTTTCTTTCCCTTTGGTTTTTTTTTTTTTGGTATAGATGCGGCTAATTTCCTAGATCTTCCCTTTTCCTCAAGGTTAATTAATTTGCCTTCAGCCACCATTCCTTATTTAAGGAAAAAGAGAGAAGTTGTCTGGTTTGGCTAGATTTTCTTATGCATGGTTTTGCTATGATTATTTGAAAGCCTTTCTCCTTCTTTATCTGAGAAGGATTTGGCTGAATCTAAAATTACTTCTCAAATGCAGTAAAAGGCGTAAACATGATGGATGTAACTGTACTAGTTTCATTGGTTTAGAGCATGTTTTGTAATAAAGGGGTTTTTTCTTAAAAATATTCCAGAAAGCATCAGGATGTGGTTTAGGTTGAGAGCAACATACAATTACAAATGGCATCAGGTTATTGAATTTGTTAACCTTGGATTGCATAAAGTTATTGACTTGTAATAAAAAAAACTTTGTATGCGAAACGAATATCAACTTGCATGATTTTCGACATTAGTATAGGCTCTGAGCGAAATCTTGCAATTCCTCGAGTATTGCTGAAGCCAGGTCTTATTTTCAAGACATCATTTCTGTAAATATAAAACTATTTCTAGAACTCAATGTTAATAAGATGTTCTCTCTCTCTTTTTTTGGCATTCTTGAAAATGGACAATCCCCTCTAGATATCTAATCCGTGTTGACCTGTCTTATCTTTCATCATTTGCCTGCAGATTCTGAAGTCTTACAGCAAGTTAACAATTCAATATAGTCATTGGTATTTGCAACACCAAAGATTAGGAGTGGAAGCCCAACCTGGGATAACTTACAATCATATTTGGAGGAACATGAACGGTGAATCAGCTGCTAAGATTCGGTTTGTCAGATGTCCTAAATGCTGGCAGCTTCTTGCGGAGCCACAAGATATTCCAGTCTACGAATGTGGTGGCTGTGGCACACATCTTCGAGGTACAATCTTTTTAATTTGTGCTGTGTGGTTTGGATAATATATGCTGGATCATTTTCATTAAATTGTTAAATAAGATAAGAGATGGTAATATAGTATTCTTCTTGGATTGGTCAAGTTGATATAGAAATTCAATTACAATATTCAACTTGGTTAAGTTCTGATTATAAAAGATTAAGAGGTTTAACAATTATCAATTCCATATTGCATGGACCCAAGAATGCTACTTTCCTATGATAGACATTCTGATGAACTCTATAGGTTCCTTGGGCGATTCTTTAATAGCCAATACTCCAGGTTGATGGCACTAAGCCAGTGCTAGACTAGCTCTTCTAGTACAAGAATGCTTTCCTTAACAATTAAAGAGTATTTTCGTCTTATACACCTAAGTTGTTCTATTCTTACCATCCATAGATTGTTTTCTTTATCTCTTTTCTTGTTTTACTGAAGGTGCTCTTCATTGTAACAATCTGGATTTGTAGATGGTTTAATCACTTCTTTTCCTTCATGCAGTGAAAATTCGAAAAAGTAACCCTGAAGTTGCAACTTCTGGCCTGCATGAAACAGATGCTGCTCAGAAAAATAGATCAGATCATATTTCTGAAGCTAAGGAATCCAGCAGCTCAAATCATGAAGAAAATTTTCTTTCCCCTGGGGAATGTTCTTCAGACCAACTCAATGGGAGGGCTGCATCTGGCGATTGTGATCTTGATTATCTCAGTGGTGCAAACTTACCAGAAGAACTGCAAAGGAGTGGAAGTGATCGAAATGGTTCTGAAGATTTTGATAGTAAGCAACCTGGAGGTGTGAACTCATCACACAACCAAAAGAATGAGATTGATAAAAATGATCCAGGGGACTCTGATAATGAGCATGTTGTAGGTGTAGGCTCATCCAATGAACACCAACAGAATGGGAGTGGTCAAAATGAGACTGAGGATTGTGTTGATTTGAATGTAATAGGCACAAGCTTGTCAAGTGATGATCAGGAAAGGGGAAATGATTCAAATGAATCTCCAGAGTGCCATCATGAACAGCCTGAAATTTTCAATGAAGTTCAAATCCAACAAATTGAGTCTGGGGATTGCAATGATGAGCATGTTGGAGGTATGGGGGGCATATCAACTGAAGCACAAAATGACTGGAGTGATCGAAATGATTCTTCTGATTGCAATGTTGAACAGGCTGGGTTTTCCTATAAAGTGTGTTCGCCTACCAAACTTGATGAAGAGCTGTCCCCACTGGCAGCAGCAAAACCAAAAGCTGAAGTCAATGAAAGTGGGATTCAACAAAATGACTCTGGAGCTTTCAGTGATGAGCAACGTCGAAGTGTGAATTTATCAACAGAAGCAGAAGATGACAGGAGTGATCAAAATGATTCCTTGGATTTCAGCATTGAACAGGCTGGAATTTCCTATAAAGTTTGTTCTCCCACCAAACGTGCTCATCTCAAGAACAAAGAGCCATCCCCACTAGCAGGAGCAAAGTCAGAAGTTGAAGTGAGTGATGAAAGCTCACCATTACCAGTCACAAAAGCAGAATTAGATGCTCACAGTGATAGTGATGGAACTTCCAACGATGTTGGTTCTCCCACCAAACGTGCTCATCTCAAGAACAAAGAGCCATCCCCACTAGCAGGAGCAAAAAAAGAAGTTGAAGTGAGTGATGAAAGCTCACCATTAACAGTCACAAAAGCAGAATTAGATGCTCACAGTGATAGTGATGGAACTTCCAACGATGATTGTTCACTCACCAAACTTGCTCTTCTTGAGAAGAAAGAGTTGTCTTCAGTGGAAGGGGAAAAATCAGAAGCTGGAGCCAGTAATGAAAGCTCTCAATTAGCAGGAGCAAAAGCATTGCTAGATGCTTCCAAAGAGAGTGGTTCTGATTTCATAAAATCAAGTATTGAGAAGACAGTTGACAAGGAGGGTGCTTCAGTTGTCACTGCTCAAAGGCCTGCAGGAGAAAGCATTTCATCAGACGTCTTTGTAACTTCGCCAAATGAACAGCTAGAGAAGCTTCATGAAACAGGTCGCCATGATTTTAACCGTGTACAGTGTGCAGATACATTCAAAACTATGGATTTGATTGACCCCAGCTCTGAGTTAAGTGACAGTCTTATCGACTTGTCTAAATCCCCAGCCACCAGAAGCTCTCGGGCTTACTATGATGACATTGTCTCTTCATATGAAGGAACAGATGATCAATTACCTGATCGACCCAAGCATCCATTTAGAAATACTCATAAGCAAGCAAATCATGCAGCTTCCAATGAGAGACCCAGAAGCGAAAAGTTTGTGGCGAATAGCAGTTTGGGAATGCAGCATCACTTGAAGAATCATGCATCGATTATTTCTGATAATAATCACCGTGCCTTGAAATCCAGCAAGCTAAATCTTGATGAATTGGCAGAGCACACAAGGGTTGCCCATCCAGCTAGAAACTGGAGAAGACTGGAGAAGGATAAATATCCATCTCAGGCTCCTTTCTATCAGAGAGAGTTCTTGGCTGGCTATGATAATGGGAGCCCTTCCAATCAAAACAACAATGAATCCCGTTCCAATCTGTACTTTCATTCACGCGAAAAGGCTGCATACACTGAACAGGAGAAGATGAAACTGTTGGAAATGATTTATGAATTGCAGGATCAAGTTAACGTTCTGAATGGAAAGGAAAAAGGGAGGGTTGCTTCAGGGGTCACTTGGAAGGACCATAATCCCAGTTACAATGATCATCTGGAGCAGGTAATTTTCGATGACTTGGACTATCTGAGTTATCCTGGAAGATTCAGAGGGGGAAGCAACTGGCATCAACAGAGTAAATACTCCCAAATGCCTTTCTCAGCAGAGGTAGCAAGCAATCGAAACCAAGTTGATCACTTGTGTTGCTGTCCCCAAGACTGGTGCTTGGCACAACCACCTCCACCTAACCTTCATCATAATAGAGTGTTTTGCAAGGCCCAAGATCGTGTTGAATTTTACCATTCCTATGGTTCTTGTCCCACAACTCCACAACGGCATGCTGACTCTGAGTTTTCCATATATAGGCGTGAAACACTTTCTGATGAACACAGGCGTAGGGATCAGGAGGTAAAGAAGTATGTGAAGAAGAAACATCACTTGGCTAAGCGGCACCTTCTGCCCCTGGCAGGTGGAGCCCCTTTCATAACATGTTTTTTTTGCTTCAAACAGCTTCAGCTACCTGCAGATTTTCTTCTTTCTAAAAGGAAGTACCACCGGCTAAGATGTGGTGTCTGTTTGGAAGTACTTAGATTTTCACTTATAAGCAGGACTCATCTAGTTCCATATACACCGACTGCTGATGCACCTCCACCAAGTGAGGTTGATGAGCATAGCGGTGGTCTTCATATGAGAATTTCGGCTTCATCTTCACATGCCAGCAATTGTCCCAACGTGGATCCTGTGTCATGTTCTGAAGATTATGGACTTCCATTCTGTAAAAGCGGTTCCACTGATGGGGATCCTGTCCAGACATCATTACGTTCAGCTGAAAGCAGCCTGAATGAGCGTCGGAAGAATCCCAAGGAAAAGCATGAATTATCTGGACCTTCTTCTAGAATGTCCAAAACAAAGAAGGTATCTTCAGAAATTGAGGAGCTGCCAAGGAAAGGAGGAGGAGGTTCCCCACTTCACCGACTCATGGGTTATTCCTCACCAAGTCGACTGATATATGTTGATGAACCATCTTGTTCAAGTTGGTACTATACAGCAGAAGACTAAGAGAGCAACTCACGACATATTTATCATGAAGCACGGGCTTGTATAGATACATATAGATTGTACTTTGATTATTTTGTTGATTATAGTACAGGAAATAGGACTCGCCTCATTGCTTTGGAATCAGTAGTATATATAACAGAAGTAGAAACACAAGTTTTGAATTCCAAGTATAGGTTCTCAGAAGAGAAGATTCCAGTAATTATTTGTTTATTTTTGTATTATAAAACTGATCCTGTATAACGAAGTTTTTGGATTTCATGTATATTATTCAGAGAAGAAAAGGACAGAAATCATCACATAAAGGTCGTCCCTCGTGAGGAATGCTCAGTTTCTTCAAAGCGCTTGATGTACTCATAGAACTTTTAGAAATCTCCCCAAGCTCCTTATCCTTGACTATCTTGAGCTTAATGTCATGAGTTCAGCAGGTTTGCATGCATGTCCAGTTGAAGAAGGCTGCACAGAAGGGTTTTAGCTTGAGCAACACTGTCCAGCTGTTGTTGTACGGACCAAAACACTCCCATGACTTCACATCCGTTTCTATCTCGTCGTAGAAACCCAAAAAAGGTGATTTTGATTCACCATGAATTGTTGGTTGCTAATGCAATTTCTTTGTGTTTCCAGGGTGATGCCCACAAGATGTCTTTTGTAATTCGCTAGGTTGTGCTGTGCTTCTCGATGCTCCCTAATACCCAGCAGCGTTTCTGTTGCTTTTTTCTTTTTGACAAGCTAATAATAAACATCAACATTTTTATCCACTTTTAACCACCACTTGGTTGGCTAATCAACACGACTGGTTATAATAATTTCGGTTAATTTAAATAATAAAAATAAAAAACGTAAAAAACAATAAATAAATTGATAAAATAAAATTAACAATGTAAAAGAAAATATTATAAAGCCCCTCAAGAACAAACTAGATAAAACAATAAAATTTAATTATCAATACAACTTCATTAAAATAACCTAACAAAAAATTTAGATTAATCTTGTAACTCTAGACACAAAATTAAAATAACCTAACAATTTTTTTTATATAAAAATCAATTTTTAATAAATCAAATAAAAAATCATTAAAAAAAACTTAAAAATAATTCAAGAAAAACTTGTATTAACTTTCAAAACCCATAATCAACCTTATAAAAAACAGATTCTAAAAAATAATACAAAAAAAATTTAAATAAAAAAATATTAAAAAATAATATACACAAACTAAATCTAGTATAAAAAAAATTTAAAATAAGTGCATACTTGCCACCTAATTCCCTTACATAAAAATAATTTAAAATCAAACATTTAATGATGAAATTAAAAATAAAATTTAATTAAAACATAACAATAAAAACAAATTTGAATCAATTAAAATTCAATTTTCTTAAGTGCATACTTGCCACCTAATTCCCTTAAATTACCCCACCAAGATAATGTATGGCCATACCAGGTTGAACTCCATACCCTTATCACCTTTTGCAGTCTGAATGCAGAGCAGTGAGGCTTCTTAGGAAGCTAAAACACTGAAAAATGTTTATGAAGTAGAAATAAAAGATCAACTATAGAATTACATTCCTTCCGAATTCAATACCAAAAACATTGAAAATGTGAAAGTGTACTCTTCTGTAGTGTGGAGAGATCCAATTCCTATTGATTGTCTGCGACTTCAACTTCAATTTGCAGCTTTTCTGCTGGTTGTATTTACAAGAAAATGAAAACAAGGTGAAGCAAGCATAAAGCCCTCGGCAGATTTATCTACACAAGCAAAATTCATCTGAAGCTGTTCCTATATCTGCTTCCTCGATTTGAAACAATGGAAATCCTCTGGTCCTGAAGCATGTTTAAGTTGGGGGCCAGCAATCGGGTGTACCGATCAAAATACAGAAGCTGTTTCATGAGAAGAGCAAACTCCCTGGGAAATTTGAGTCCATATGATTCACTAACCCGAATCTGTTGCAAGCCAAAAAATATTAAACATGGATTATTGGTAATAAAACACGAGAGAAAAATTATTTGAGAGAAGAAGAGGATGCCATGGATCAGGATTGCTTCAATAATTGGTCCTTGTAACTAAACTTAGCAACTGCTTCAGAACCTTCTGCAAATTTAGCAAGCTCCACTGACCAGTCTATACTGAACTTTGTATACAGTTTCTGGGATGGATGTCTTTTATCGTAAGCCATATTGATTTTCTTGTCCAAAATTATCCCATCCTTTGATTTCCCAAAATGAAATTCTACTTTTTTTATTCCATAGGTAAATAGTTAAAACTAAAGATCTACCCTGACCTTACACCATCCTTCTGCAAACATCACTTTTGCAGGTTACAGGTATAGCAATTAAACAAAATCCTGAGAAGGGCAGACCTGTTGACTGCTGGCAAAACAGTGGGCATTTTGATGGTTTATGCATTTTCTATTATCCTATTATAGAGATAACTAGTTTTGTGGGCCTGCACCAGACCTTGGGCCTGAACATTTTTGTCGGTTTAAAAAAAAATACCCGGGCAACACAAGCATGTTTTTTTTAAAGAAAAAAAAAGTGACTCGGGACATAAACCCAGATGAGAAAAAAAAAGTCGGAAAAAAGAAAAAAAAAGTGACTCAGGACATAAACCCATAAACCCAGATGAGAAAAAAAAAGTCGGTATAGTTTAATTAGATAACAAAAAAATAAATGATGATAGTAAATAGACCAATTTAAACAAAAAGGAATCATGGGAACTTGAAAAAAAACAATTACCAAAATGAAAAGGATGAAAGCTAAGATTCCAACCAATCAAATTAAAAAAAAAAAAAAAACAACTTAAACCAAACTTAAGCCAACCTAAATGAGCATGTCAAATATGCAAGCTAAATCATGAGATTATGATAAGCCAACAAAAAACAAATAAATAAATAAAAGTTGAAGTCTAATTCAAAACAAATCTAACATGAAATTATGAAATTAAAAAAAATAAAATCAATTATAAAAAGGGATGAAAAAATAAATCAGACAATCCAACCAAACTCTGCGACTTGGATTGTAAGATAACTAATAGAATGCAAACCGCAAAAGATTACAAAGTTCAATTCTAAAACAACTTAATTTTGAAGGATGGAACATAAAAAATATTAAATTAAAAAAATCCTAAAAAAAACAAAACCAATTTAGGTTAACTAGCCAAATCTGTGGTCTAAGTGATGGGACTAAGATAAACAAATAAAAAAGAAATTGAAGAAATCATGAAGCCCAATATAATAAACTCCAACTTTAAAGGATGGAACTGGATAAAAAAGTTCTAACTAATCTAATGTTAAAATATGAAATCGAAAATAATAATATCAATTTAAAAACTTTGCCAAAGTAAATTCAACAAAGTACAACAAATAAAAAGAACCAAAATAAACCAAATCATTTCAAAATGAATGAAAAATTCCATAGAAATAAAATAAATAAAAGTAACAGGGCTCAATTTTCAATTGAATAAATGTTGAATGATAAAACTAAGAAAACATGAACTTGAAAAAAAAAAAAAAAATCAAACCCAAAAGAACTTCATAAACCTGAGTTAATCTCTAGAACTCAGTAAAAAAACTTAATTCTCAATCAATTTTATGTTAAATGATGAAATCAGGAAAAAAAATTAAGAAATTTGACAAAAAAAAATAGCAAATAAAATAATGAGAATTTGATAGGGAAAAAAAACTTAAGAAAGATGAAATTGTAAAAAAAAAAAAAATCAACTTAAGAAATTATCTCAAATAAAAAAGTTCAACTTAAGAAATTATCTCAAATAAAAAAATAAAATCAAAAGAATAGAAACCAAATTTTAAAAAAAATGAAAAAGGGATGAAAATAAAAAAGAATTTCAATTTTATAAATGAAGGATAAGAGGGAAAAAATGAAGAAAAAGAAAAGAAGGTTGTCAATGCCAAATTAGAGAACCGTTGGCTGCACGCACCCCCGCAGAAGGTGGCATATAATCATTGGACAGCCCTACAAACGTCACTCACTTGCTGGTGCATGCAATTTTTTTAATAATATTTATTCAAATACAAAAATACCCCCGAGTCAACGTGATATAAACTAAGATGAATAGATGAAATAGCCCTTGAAAGATAGTTTAGTATATTGTCTTTAAGGGTAATTAAGTTATTTTATTGTGCTAAAAAAATAAAAAGACTAAAAAAACCCTTTACATAAGTTTAATTTTCTTATTTTATTTTAGAGGTAACTAAGTCATTTTACTGTGCCAAAAAAATAAAAAGATTAATTTTCCCTGCATAAATTGAAAATAACAATTGAATCACGGTGAAAACCGTATTGACCCCAATGCCTAATTCAAAGGTTTTATGATTAAAGGGTAATTTTATCATTACACTACGTAGGTGCACAATAATTTTGCTAGGAGATTTAGTTTTTTGTTAATGCATCAATGGGTCTCGTATGAGGAACACTGTCCTAACATCACAACTTAATTGCTAGGAAAATTGTAATCTATCACATTGATTAAGTTTGCACTGCATCTATTTAGAAAATGTTCAAACTTAACTCATCATATATTTTGGTTTAAGTAATTAATGAGATCAGCTTACCACATCAAGAAAGAGTGCATTCATCTGCCTCTCGTCAACAACAACATTGGCAGAGACAGCAGTTGCATTTGTAGTTCTATCCCTGGCGGTTGCAACGATTAATTCAGTATCCAAATCCTGCATCAGAGTAACAAAGCGTGTTTTAAACCAGTTCCAATAAATTTCAAAAAATGAGTGTTTAGAGTATTGATGTTTACCTGTATTGATGAGAATATCTTTTCCAGGTCTTTGGCAAAGGCCATAACATCCACATCCTTGTTTGTGGCACCCATTTCAATCAAGGCAGATGCCATTGACTCATATTCTTCAGTTGCAATTGACGCAAGAAACACTTCCATAGCAGTCCATGTTTTTGGGGATATGCGACCAACAATTCCTGTAGATTGGATTCTACTTGAGTTATATGACAGATGGCTTAAATTCATGTAAATAGTTGGTCAGCTCTCATTAAATATGCTGTAAATGCTCCAGATCATACCATCACCAACCTGAGGTACCATTTACATTAGATCTATAGTACTAAGTGGTATAAATGACCCATTAAAATAGGTTCTGCAATGAAGGGATGCACCATGAATCTGCAGAAATAGTTTTACACAGTACAATATATCATCTAATAATCGTTTATGATCCTTTGGCCCCAATCAATATGACTGACATGTCTTTTCAGTAGCTAGGGTAAAGATACAAATTAACTTCCATGTCACCAAT